AAAACTTAGCTTAATTGTATGAACGAAAAAAAGACCAGTGAGTTCATGACACAGTACAAAAAAATCTGAAGGCAACCATGTCCTGGCCAAATGAGTAAAAGAAACTTTCCTTGGACCATACATCTTCCTTCACAATGCTCTAAGTAGTTTATGGTTTTTTTGTTCTTTTGTATAAAAAGCTGCACTCTTACTAGAGACTACGTTAACTAGCAGGTTTCAAACACAACTTGGATTGTATGCCTAGTTGGAAGAAGGTGACGTTAATCAACAAGTAAAGAAACAAATGTTTTAGAAAGAGAGTATGACCAACTTTTTAAAACTATACTTTACTATGGTTGCACAAGAGTATTATGACATGTACAACCTGTTTTTTTTTGTTTTTTTTTACAGAATGTTGGTGGCATACACAATCTTGAATATCTTCAACATGGGTTGAAACAGGGTAAGTTATTTTCCATCCCTTCACACTGGTTAGAGATGTGAAAATCCTTGTTATGTCTAGCAGTTTTCCAAAATGCAACAGTTGAAAACTGATTACAGCATTTTGGGTAAAGTTAGAATTTCATATGTTTAAGTTACTATTTATAAAAACCTTCTCTACAGGTTTAGGGCCAGTGATGCAAAAATGTGAAAGTTGTATCTAGTCTTGTAGACTTTTTTACGGACAACAAATAATTAAAAGTTCTGCAAGTGTGTATCTAGAAGTCGGATATCTTCAACAATCATACATTATTTCCATAGGTTTAAAGAAGAATCTAGAGCAGACCTTGAAACTTTCCAGATATTTTACTCAGTCACATTTTGGAAAATTTATTTCTGGACTTGTGGACATTGGGTGGATTACCCAGAGAATTCAGCTAGGAACTGATGAGTGGAGATTTGTTTGGAGCAAGTAACAATAAGTGGAACTTCTACAGGCTTGATGCCCCCACATTCCTTTAGAAACACTTTTGTAAAATATGTGCTGTATCAGGCATGACATATCAGTAAGCACATTATAAATACTGCAGCATCTGATCTTATTTCATGTACTGTGTTGATTACTGTTGGTACTTTTATTTCAGAAAATTACAAAACAAACATAATATTGTAATTATTTATTTGTATTTACACTCTTAGGCTAAAGTTTGCACATAAATACAGGTGATGGATCACATACATATCATTTCTGTGAACCTTTATACACAGCAAGAGTCAAGTAGAAAGTGAGGTGGATGATACACTAACCTTTAAGTAGAACTAAGTGTTAGCTGAGTTTATTCAACTAACTAGTAAAAATGTGCATAAAATCTTTCTTTTCACTGACCACATCTTGACCTAGCTAGAGGAAGTTCAAATTGACCAGACATCATTCAATTCTCTTTTCTACCTACTGCTAAAAGATTGTCCTTTTAAAATGAAAGATTCATTAACTGCTGTATCCCCAGCTTAGACGTGACCCTTACCAAATCACAACTGATTCCACTCCCACAATTGCAGTGAAGCACCAGCTGGAGAATGTTTTGAGGCAGAAAAATGCTAGAGAAAACTGCCTCTCTGTATTTACAGTGATGTGTGACTGGCTTGAAAATAAACTGAATACTACAAGTCAACCATACCTAGGGCCTGTACAGTCTAAGCCTAACATTTCTTGTGGCCTATCGGACCTTATTTTACATAATATGTGACAGAAGACATTAAGTTGAAATTAATACAAAACATTAAGTCTAGTTTTTATACATGTATATACAATACACATATAATTTGTACACTTGATAACGAAGAATCTACCTTTTGTGTATGGCATAAATATCAGGAAGAGGCTAAAGTACACATGCACAGCAGGAAGTAGAGGTTATCTCTAATTTTCCAGCATGTTTCAAAAAACGTGTAACACCTAAATGTAAAAAAAGCATACATTGAAACAGACAACAAGCAAAGGTAGATGTGATGATTTCATCCGTAGCATCTTTGGGCCATAAAGCACTAGATGGCATGTGTTAAACTTGGTAACGAGAAAAGGGTCATACAACACCCCTCTGTCCTAGTCTACCTAAAGTGGGAAACTACTCCACCACACAGATGTATGAATAGTAATAAATTAATCTGTAATAACATAAAACAATCAACATAACAAAACTGGTACCTTTTTCAGTGGTAATAATACAGATACATTAAATTGGGTAAGCTTTAGCCTGATAGTTTGTTGTAATATATAACGCTTTCTTGTGTTAAGTAATTTTTGTTTTATAGCACCAGTAGGGTATTATATAACACTTTGAAAAAAAAAGTTCACTTTTGTTCTTTAAAACTAAAAGAAGTGGACACCTAGGGACACAAGCTTAGAGGAAATGCTGTGTCTTCTTAAAATCGACCTTACAAAAAAAAAATATCAAATAATTAAAGTGAAAAGTACCTCAAATTTGTAGGAGTGTGTTGTAGATAACTCCTACATACAACAAAATGTGAAAGTTTGTTTTCATAAATAAAGAGAATCAATTTGGTATTGTAGGTCTAATAAAAAAAACAGCTGCTAACTGTCCCAAGCCTAAGAAGCAAAAAGCATTTCCTCTTAAGCTTCATTAGAACTAAATGCCTGGAAATAGATTTTATACACCCCACTGTACCAGAAACGTAATTAATACAGCATTTAAAACTGATGAATGCATGGGAGATCCTGACGAACAATATTTACAGAACAGCTCTGAATCCTCTTCACTACAAGACTGATTCTGCTGAACGTGACAGGTGAATGGGATGGGAGGGGCTTCTTGCTAATCGTTTCTTTGGGAGCTTGAGGAGTGTTGACTGGATGTTTCCAAAGTGTGGTCGCTCTACCGGTTTGTACGCCCAACAGGCCATTAAAATATCCTAGAAGAAAAATTTGTTTTTTATTTTACTGTAACGAATTTTATCTTTGTTAACCATGCTATTAGAAGGCCAAGTATGTACACAGAGAACCCACAGTTTATCTTAAGTGATGTGAAGCTAGATACCATCAGCTTGGTAATGAAATAATACAGAATGTAAGTGTTTAAAACAAAAGGTAAAAATGTCAAGTCAGATCAATTCCATGATACATGTCCATATTACACATAATAAAATGGATGTTCTGTAATTCCTGAGAAGACAATTCAAATCTCCCTCAGCAGCAAAGCGAAGGTTTTGTTGCCATGTTTATTACAGCAGTAAAACAGTAAGCAAAGTTTAATGGTTATAAATAACACATTTGACTGTATACAATTTCCATACCTTAACATCTTGAGAGGCCTGAATGTTGGTAAGGGGCTGCTTCATTCCCTTTCCTACTTGCCAGATAATGCCCTCTGGTGGCTGTCCATGAAAAGGCCACTCTCCATAGAGAAGTTCATACCATACAGTGCTAGGGAAAAATAAGATCATTAACTACATGTATCTAAACTTGTAATCTATCTTGATCTTTGAAGGTTAATATTTTACATGACCAGAAACTATAACATCCTGATAAGTAAACAGTAACTTTCAAGATTTATGTTTCACCAATAGAAAAAGTCCAGTTACTTCTTGGAGTGACCACTTACAAGATTACAGCGGGGGAATATTCCCATCTGCTGAGAAAAATTCAAACTTCATGCCTTTGTGGGTTTTAGTATTTTATGTTGTTTATTTACTTTGGTGTAAGTAAGATAACAAAACAAGTACAGATTTACTCACCTAGACAGTTCTCTAAATGATTACTTGTTATCTCCTCATGTACAAAATGGAAAAACAAAAGTAATTATGGGAAGGAAAATTACAATCTTCTGGTGAAGATGAGTTTAAGCCTCTGATGAAAAAAAGATACAACATATCTTGTGCACAAAAACTCGTAATGAGCTCGTGCTGGACAAATCTCATGAGGACATGACTGCAAGACCACCTAAGGTTGGGAAGAATCCTACTGGGACACAACCAAGAAAGGCCTTGACTTTTCTGACCAGTATCCAACAAAATAAGAAAAAGTTTCTCAAAAATTAACAATAGCCAGAGCATCAATAGTGAAATGCAGGCTTTAGCCAAAGTTCTTATTTCTACCTGAAGATCATAGAAGTTCAGAGGAAGTTATACTTTTGTCAGTCTGGGACTCTTAACAAACACTTTCCATTCAAAATAAAAAACAGCAGCTCATTAACTGTGGATGACTGGTTCTGTCCTTGAAAAGAAATCTCCTATCACACAACTTCTAGATAACTTGATATTCATTGCAAGTGGAAGCCTGATGCATTACTTTCTGGTCATATTCAAATCTAGGACAAACTAAAACTTCAGAGTGCAAACTTTGGAGGCCTACAACAGTTAGGTGTTCTATCAAAATACATTCAGAAATGAAGGTGTAGGACTGAGGCAATTGGTAATACAAATGAAATACACTTGGGACTATAGATGGAGACTTTACCTTCAAGTAATTTCTCTATTCATAGCTTACAGAAACATTTTACACATCATAAGTGAAAAGTGAAGGAGACACTTTTATGGTGACTCAAATTTAGCTGATAAAACACAACACCATGGTCCTGCATGCTAAATGGTACTAGTTCCATGAAGACCTCAAAACAGAATTAAAAGGAAAGTTTATCTATATCATAAATGCCAGAGTATGTGACCCCAGACTTTAAAAGGTTGAAAAAGAAAAGTTACCAAGATAGTACTGGAGGAAAGAAATGGGAACTAATGGGACAAACTTCCAGCATTATAAGCATCCCAATGTTAAGTTTGACAACCCTTAAGACAGCCTGAATGTTCTTCATGAATGAAGGTTTGAATCATATTTCTTCAATCTTCTGGCAGTCACACAAATCTAGAATAGAAACTAGTAATACTCAAAGCTGTTGTTCTGCTGACTTGACAAAAATTTGAGTTATTTGGAAATACTGATCAGATGGGGAAAATTTTTAAATATTCAAGATAGAAAAAAATGGGTGGCTACAAGTAAAAAACCAGTTTCTTCACAAAGAGTTCAAGAGATAAAATTAAAGAAAAGCATAATAAATTTAAAAAAATTAAATTGACTGGTATGACAGGAGATTAAGAAAGTTGGTGAAACAGGAAATTAGGATATCAAAAAGGATGTATGAGAAAAGGTTGACTGAAAATGTACAAATTAACAGTAAGGATTTCTTTAAATACATTCAAGGTGAACATAATGTTAGAACCCTTGAAGGATGATAAAGGAAGGCTAGTATCTGATGATTATGAGATGGCTGGGTTATTAAATTTGGCTTTTTTTTTCTGGTTTTACTAATGAAGATTTAAGCAGTATTCCATATCTTGAATAGTTGATAAACAGA